TCTGAGAGTGGTGTAACCATTCTTCTTGGTCTTAATTAAACAATACTTTTTGTTAAAACACTGTTAGAACATTTGAGATTGTTGCAGGTTTTCTTGCATGAAGGTGTGTCTGGTAGTGCTGTCATAGTCCTGCTGCTAAGTTTCTGTCCCACTTCTCCCCCAGGCCTGACTTATGATGAAGTAATCAGCTTTGTGCCACCCCCGCTTGACCAAGAGGAGATGGAGTCCTGAGAAACTGCTCTCTTCTGTTTGTCCCACTCACTGTGAAGGGAAGGCCTTTTCATAGGGACTCTCCAATTATCGTTCAAGTGCCTCATCACAACAATATTCTCCTTAGTGGAGGGGTTTTGTGTGTGTTGAACTGGGGAGGGAGGGGGGAGGGAAGGAAGCTGAGTCTATGTAAACATGCTGCATGCTCTTGTATTCTGTGTACAGCCTGGGGCAAGCCTCTGGAGACCTGTTCTGACTGCACTTAGTTCTTCCAGAGTAACAGTGCACCACCAGTCTGCACTGCTGGGGTGAGGTGGGGAAGGTGACAGGTAAAGGTTTGGTTGCAATCATTGCCATTTATCAATTCTCCTACAACTGAGTAACCTCAAAAAGAATGCAAGTTGGTTTATAGGCTTAGGGAGTCCTCTGTTTTCTTCAGGACTGAAGGTGGGGTTGAGGGATGTTCAATGTCCTTGTTCAATGCCAGGTGTCTGATTCACATCCAGATCTTCTGGTACAGCAGAGTGTCAAGGCCTTCCAGTGTCTGATTGGAACACGAAAAGATGTTGTTTGAAACTGTAAATATGTTTGTGCCTTAAATGAATGGGAGAGAGGGGAAATGAAGATTGGGGTGGAAATCTGACCCACTGTTCTTGAGGGTGAAGGCTCCCAGGTAGCCAGGCATGAACTCAATGTAATTGGGAAGTAACTTTGAGGCAACAACTTCAACCCCTGGATTGGGTATTCCTGTGTTTTTCCCTTTCCTCCTCCTCCTCTTATTCTGAGGCTTCTCAGCATTATCTCCCACGAGCCAGAGGTTGGGGAAGATCCTTGCTAGCCACACGTTTGTGTATTCTGTTCCCTACAAGGTGGTGTGTTTTTGCATGTTGTAGCTGTATGTGCATGTAGAGCTGCTTGATTTTTGTCCTTATTTTTTGGGGATGGCACTGGGGGCAGTTCAATCATCAGTGAAGTGTTTACTGAGTACCTCAGGCAGTGCCATAAAATCACAGCACCCTTCCTCCTGTGCTGCAGCTCCTTGTGAAATACCTGCCATCCTAGAGGCTTCAACGAGGGAAGGATGTCATGTCCAACAACAGAGAAACATGCACCTTTTTCTTTGTTCTGACCTCCTCCCTGCAGAGGAGGAGAGCTTGGGCTGAAAGATTTCTTGGGAGATCAAGTGTAAAAAATATTCTTTAAAGAAATGACTGTAGTATCTTGTGCCAGATCTTAAGTTATTTCCTGAAAAGATTTGTTTTCTAAGTATTGGAACCCAAAGCAAAGAAATAAGCATGCATAAACACACAATCACCCTTTCACTGTCTGTATCTTTAAATACAAATATTTATATACATAAAACTAACATTTACTAGAAGGTTTTTTTATCCTCTCACATAAGAGCTTCTTGGCTATTTCTTAGCAGGTTGATCTCTGCCTGAGGAAACATGAGAAGGGAGTATGTTTGAATACAAACATGGTTCAAATATTCTGTATTTTCTAGGACTCTGCATGAGCCAAGTGCCCAGAGTTAGAGACTGGCAGGAGGGAGGTTTCTCAGCATGTTTGTGTGCTCCATCTCTAGCTGGGGAGCTCAGGAGCCCAATTTTAGGGCTTCTGGAGGAAACATTTTTAGACTTTAATTTGTTGCAGGCATCCTGTGTGGGCAATGTCCCCGTGTATGTGAGCAGAAAGGCTTTTGCAGTATTTTGTATTCTTGTTACCTGTGGGGCAGAGAGTGTTTTTGTAGTGTTTTTGCCCCATGTTTGAAGAGGCAGCACAAAGGGATGGGACGTGGATGACAAAGCCATTGATTCTTCCCAGGCTATTTCCCAGCGATCTCTTCAGGCCAAATGTTCAATAAAGGTCTGGGCTGAGGTGAAGAGAGCAGCTCTGTTGTGCTCTAGGATAAAACTCTCCACAGCCCATCAAAATCAAGACAAAAAAACCCTCCCTTTTCTGCTGGGCCAGCAGTCTGGGTATTCAAATGAAAATGTAGATATCCTATGTAAACCTACAGCAAGATTATTTTTATCAGCCATTTTATGTGTAGATGCTACAGTGTGATTTCATGCGGAAATATTGCTAAAGATTTTTAAAAACTCTCGGTGTTGTGTGTGTGTGTGTGTCTGTGTGTGTGAGTGGGAATGGTTCATTGCAGTCTGTCCTCTGAGGGAGCCCCTGGGACACGAACTCCCTGCTGCCAGTGCCCTGCTGTGCTCAGCTGCAGCTGGGCAGGACGCTGCACCCAAAAGCAGAGATCTGCTATTTTGTTTCTATCCATGGATTTTGCTGTAATTGGTTATGCCAGATAAGATGTCACAATACCACTGGTTAAAAATAAAATCTATTTTTCAGATTTACTGCACTGCTGGTACTTGAAAACCTCTTGCACTGAAGCGTTGAGTTTTAGCATGGTGTGAATTTCTCTGCTGTGCTGGGGGGGATCCTGGGTGTGATGGCTGGGAGGGGACCAGGCCATGCCTTGGCTGCTGCCTGTGCTGCCATGGGGCTTCTTGTCTGTGTCCCCACTGAATTCTCTGCTACAAAAATAACCTGAGTTAGTACTGGACACAGAACTACCCCCCTCCCTCTCAAGCTTTTATTTTCTGTTTAGTGCAGGGCAGCACTAATTGAACACTAACAGAGCAGAGTCCTGCTGCTTCCCTGGACCTGGGACCCTCCCCCAGTAGGACTGGACTGTGTTTATTTGCTATTTAAAAGTGATTCCTTTTTTCCTCTTCAGCTGCCATCTAGTTGTTGGTGGAATGATCACCACAGTGGAGCTTTTCCAGCTTCTCTTGTGTATCAGTGTCACTCCCTCAGAAGAACTCGGGTTGACCAGAGCTGTTCTTCACTCACAACCCACAATCACTGAAGTTCTAGGCCCTGATGAACCAAGGGAGGTGGTGCTGATCCCAACCAGGCAGCTGCTCCCTACTCCCACAGCAACTGATCTGAGGAAAGAAACAGAACAGTGCTGGGGGTGTTCTCTCAGCTCCATGAGCCTTCCTGTTAACTTTTGCTGTTTCCTAGCTTGAGGAGAGGGGGGGAAAAAGCCTAAACAGGACCAGTCCTGTTGTTTTCTGGGAGAAAAAAACACAATTCCAAATACCCAAGACTTAAAATTCCAGAATGTGCTGTTACAATATATCCTCATCAGCAAAAAAATTCTAAAATCAGTGAGAACTGAACTGGGGGAAAAAATAAACTACATCTATAAAATCAAATTACTTAACTCATGAAGTTAACACGGAGCAGTCACCATGCAACACTTGCAAATGTTCTCCAGCTGTGTTCCAGTCGCTGATGGGGCCATCACAGGTGGGAACAACATGCTGGGAGTTTGGGTAGGCCCATGATGAAATGTTTATTACTAGAAGAGAAGCATGGTCAAAACTGTAACCCTGATTGTCAGCCCCAGCTGCACTGTAGAGAGTACCCGGAGAAGGATTTTCAGGTCATCCCACCACTTTTTTTTGTGGACTTAGCAGAGTTGGGCTCATAATTAGACTTGATCTTGAAGGTCTTTTCCAACCTAAAGGTTTCCATGATTCTGAAGTTTCCTGTTTGATTTGGTCACTGAAGTTAACTCATCTCAGTACAGCCCAGACACGCCCCAGCTATTCAGGACTCCCTAATTGGGCTCTGATTGCCCTCGTTTGCACCAGCGGCTGAGCCAGGGCTGTGTTCATCAAATGAGGAGTTGTTACATGTTTGCTTTAGGATCAGGAGCTTCTGCTGTGACACTTTTTGCTCACAGGTGTATTTATAGACCCAGCCACGCCGTGGATTATTTCCGGGCTGTGCTGCTGCTGCAGCCGGGGCTGATGGACAGACCCTGCCATGGTGCCCTGTCCCTGTCTGTGTTTATAAGCACGAGGCTCTCCTGGGGCTGCTCGAGGAGCACAAGGGCCAGAGCACAGTGAATCTTCCCTGCCCCCTGATTGTGCATTTCCTGTGGGGACACCTTTGCAGGTGACCTGCATGGAAGGGGCAGAGGCTCTGGGTGGGGTGGAGGGCTGCTGGGGTAGAACACTGTGCAAGCAGCTAGGCTGGCTTGGTAAGGCTCAGCTTAGTCACTTCCTTTGGGGAGTGGGGAGGATGCACCTCCTGTGTGGGAGCCCCACCTGAGCCTCCTCATGCTGGAGTGAAATGTTGAAGTGTTCTCTGCTTACCACGAATGGTCCTTCTCGTGGGCTGGGTGTGCTGGGCTGGTTGGTCACAGACGCGGAGTGAACACGGGCTTTGTTGTGTCCGAGAAGAGCCAGGCAGGGCTGAGAGCTGCTGCAGGACATGAAACCGCACCCAGCCAAGCCTGGGGCACGAACTGTTCTGGGGATGTTCCCATTCAGCTGCTCCTGAAACCCCTGGCAGCAGTCACTTGGAGAACCTCGGCCTGCTTTCCGCACCTCCCCACGCTGCTGGGAAGCCGGGCTTGGGAGAAAATCGCCATCGATGTGACCCCGTGGTGCCCTTTGCCACGGGCCTGGAGCTGTCCATCGGCTTCGAAAGAAGGATGTCCCTGTGTCTGACGCGGTGCTGTGGCTTTTCCCTCGGATTCCCCGGCTGGACGAGTCCTTACTCATCCCCCTGTTTGGAGGAGGGATTTCAGGAGCCCCTGTCGGGCCCCGTGAGGATATTTCTCGGCTGATGGAGCAGCAGACGGGAGCTGTGGATGACAGGGGCTGCCAGAGGCGTGCCCGAGCGGGGCTGGCTGCTCCGTGCTGCAGCAGAGCCCAGAGGCACCTGTACAGCATCGAGGCGTGTCAGGAAACCTGATGCCTCACCTCTGCCAATGTGGAGGCGGAGGGAGGAGGGCCCAAAGACATGTCCCTTCACGCTCGCAACAGCTGAAAACAGAGAAGGAAACTTGCTAGAGCCTTTCTCAGCAGCGCAGGAAGCCTCCCTGCCCATCTCTCACCCCAGAAGCCCTCCCGTACTCCACTACTCTGGGGGGGTGGCTGTCCCACACCCGTCGGGCGATGAACATCGCAAGGAGAAGAGGCTTTTACAGACAGGAGGTGAACAACACGCTCTGGGAGCTGCCCAGGAGATACGCAGCCCTGCACCCGCTGGGCTCCGGGGCCTACGGCTCCGTCTGGTGAGTGGGGTCCTGCCCGCACCGCCCGCGGCAGCGCCGGCCGGGCTGGGGGTGTTTGAACTTCCGTGCCGGGGGGGAAACGAGGAGGTGCTTGGCAGCACCCTTCCATTAAAGAGGGACATTTGCATGTGTGTGATGGGGACAGGCTGTCCCCTGCTCCAGAGCACGGCTGGACACTCGCTCGCTTGAAGAAAATGTTTGCCCCTTTGGTCAGCCCGGTGGGCAGCGGTGCCAGAGCAGCCGAGCGTCACCTCGGCACCGGGGCCACCTCGGCACTGGGGTCAGGCAGATTTTGAGCTGCTTTGGGCTCGATCTTGTGTCCTGTCTGGCAGCACAGGCAGGAGGCGGGGGAATACCTGAGCGTGTGGAAGAGATTTGTGGGTGATTACAGAGGTGGGAGCTGGAACAGGCTGTCCTCGCTGCTCTGCCCCGGGCAGGTGATGCTGGGCAGCCTAGGGAAAGCAGCTGGACAATGCAACCCCCACCCTGATACTGCTTCCAGTTTGAAATCATAAAGTGGGTAGGAATTACTGTAAACCAGGATCAATAACAGACTGGGACTTCCTTCATGGCTGATGATAAACCCCAGCGCACAGAAGAGCAGACGAGCTGCTGTTAATTATTCAGCCCGGTAAAGCGTCCTGAAGCAAGAGCAAGCGCGAGTCGGAATTGCTGGGTTTAAACGGACAAACCAGAGATGGCAACTCTGAAAGGCTAAATATGAAACAGTCCATTGATAGTATCTGAATAGAGCCTTTATTTCGTAACGTGCGGAGCTAAAAATAATAATAAAAGGTGTGTCCGTTTTTATAGGTGTCGGGCAAAGTCTGGTCTGCCACTGACACTAATCCTGAAATCCTGGTGCCCTGGTTTTGTCCTTTTTCCCCAGTTTCCAATTTACAGAGGCACCCTCGTGGCTGCCCAGATGCATTTAGATTCTTAAGTAAGTCCCGCAAAATTAGATAGGATTAGACTTGACTTTTAATTTATATTTATACAGTGTTCTCTGATTTTTATCACAGAGAAAATCAGGAAGAAAAATAAAGACAGGACCTAAAAAAAAAAAAAAAAAAAAAAAGAGAGAAAAATCCTTTCAAGTTTCCTTGCTCACCCGAAAAAAACAAACATCAAAAGAAATCTTTAATGGTCTCTGTAAAACTCTCAGCTGCTCTACAGCTCTCAAGGAGGGAGGGAGAGGCGGGTGTTGAAGCAGCCCAGGGGGTCCGTGGTGGTTTTGAATGGACAGAGCTCAGCAGGGAGGGCTCGGTGCCGATTTCTGTGCAAAGCTGAGGCAGAAAATGTGGAGTTAGGATTTGCTGTCCTCTGCTGGGAATTGCTGAGAAAATTTCCTATTGCAGCTTTATGAAGCAGCAGCTTTTACACCAGCTGAGAAAAGAACTCAGGAGAAACAGCAAAGGCTTCTTTCTGCCCTTATTAATTTGCCAAAATCTGTAGTGATTTGGCTTCCAGCTGAGTGTAATTGTGAGAGAAGAATCTTCTGAGCCCTCCAACGCTGCTCTTGCTGATCTCTACCAGCCAAGGCAGGGACACAGCTCTGCCTGCCTGAGGTCACCCCAAACTGCATCTGTTCATTAAATCTGTGCTGGGGAGAGCATGGGGGGCTCTCCCAGCTGCATGACTGGATCAGCTCTGGGCTGGGATTACAGCAAGGCTGTAACCAGCACTGTCTGTGCTGTGCAGGCTCAAGCTCCACCAGCAGCTCTCCTGTGTTGGCTGCTGGGGTTCAATGCTCTGTAGGTCAGCAGCTGGGAGGGCACCCTCAGATCGGGAAATCTGCCTTGGATTCTGCAGTTCGACTCCCTGGTCTGAGTCCCTTCCTCCTTACACAGTGCTGTCCCCTCTGCTGGCATCTGCTGAAGTCCTAAAACAGAGACAAAATCTTACTAAGAGTCCTCCTACAACACCCTGCAGCATCTTCAGCTGCCTTGTGTAGCTGTTCCTGCACTTCCTTTGCTTCTCCTGACTCAGTATTTGTCAGTGCAAGGCTGGAGGATGCAGCTGGAAGCCATGGGATTGAACACAATGATTTACAGCTCTTCTGTTCCTGTGGGAGATGGGATAGGGATTTCTGAAACAGTGGGAACTGCTCTGGGAATCCACAGTGGGATTTGGCAGGGAAAATCCTTTTTTTCATGTTTGTCTCTTGGGAGGAGTCAAGGAGGGGCCGAGACACTCCTGGAAAACACCACTGAGAACGCTGAATTACAGCTGACTGTCTGAGGACTTCTCTTCCCTCCTTTGCAATCTGAGCAGGGAGCCTCCAGAGGAAAGGAACTGTCCCAGGATTGCTGTGTCCAGCTGCAAACAGCCAATGTGACCAGCAGGAATAACACAGCGTGTCTGTAGCAATGGCTGCTGGGTCAGGTTTTCATCAGCTTTAGAGAAGAGTCTCATTTTCAGCCAGACCCGTTCTTACACAGAAGTGAAGGTGTAATCAAGGATTCTGAACACAGCAGGATTAATTGCAGCAGCATTTTCAACATGTGACATCCACTGTCTTTGCTCCAGATCACAGTGAAGGCAGCTGGCCTGCCCTAAAATACAACAACCTCCAAGCAGATGGCAAAGCAGAAACCTCCATATCTTTATTCCCTTATCTCCATGCATTAGGGAAGGAGATGGCAGTTAGGACTGATTCTGACCTTTAACCACTTGTGTTTCACTTTCAACTCTGTTACCTCCAGCTCACTTCTGCAGGTTGAAGGGAATAAAAATGAGCCACTCATGCTTTCCTTGGTGTCCCACCTCAAAGAGCACAGGCTGTGGTCTGGTGCCCAAAGCCACACAGGGTAACGTCTGTGTGTGCAGAGCTCCACTGAGCTCTCAAAGGACCTTTGTCTGCTGTCCTGCGAGCACAGGAATCAACTCTTCTCTAGGAGATGACTGTGGGGTTGCAGAATCTGTTAAAACATCCTGCTGACATCAGAATGGTTTTTTATTTGCCTGCTGCAGTTCAGCCATAGACAAGAAGACGGGTGAGAAAGTGGCCATCAAGAAGCTGTGCCGCCCATTCCAGTCAGAGATCTTTGCCAAGAGAGCCTACAGAGAGCTGATGCTGTTGAAGCACATGCAGCATGAGAATGTGAGTGCTCATTTCTCCTCTTCCTGCTGACACAGGGGTGTTTCCTTGCCACCTGGGAGCAAGTCCTTGGTGGCATCACCCGTGTTTTAATTGACATTTGGTACGTGCAGGAGGTCTCAGGGTTTACCTGTGACCTGTCTGCTGTGCCCAGGCTGGAGCAGGTGTGTAATGGGTGAGCCCAGGTATGAGTAAGAGGAAAACATTTGTGCAGCATCAGTGAGGAGTCCCTGGGTTCCTCAGACAGAATTCTCTGTGTTCACCCAAGTGCATGTGCCAGTGGAGAGTTGATGAGTGCCATGTGCACAGCAGATGCTTTTCAGGTTTAAATGTGGCCTTCTCTCCTTCCTCAGGTCATTGGGCTGCTTGATGTCTTCACCTCCACTGCCTCCTACCAGGGGTTCCAGGACTTGTAAGTCTGGAGTTGTTTGCTCTGTCTAGATTTAACTATTTTCCAAGACAGCTGTGTTTTAGCAGCAGTGAAACAGAGAGGGCTGAGGAGCAAAGGGACCAGACTAGAATCCAGGCATCCCCCAATAAAGCAGAGCCAAGAGCACACATCAGCTCCCATGGCTGACACACCCAGAACACGTGAGCAGATCCCACCCTGTCACAGCTGGGACACCACAGCACGCACAGGCCGACCTGTGGTTACATTCCATGGTGCCTCACACGGAGGGTGACCCATGCTAGCACTGGGTGACTGCTGAGCTAAGGGGCTGCTCTCAGAATGGGAGAAGTATTGTTCATCATGCCTCAGGGCAATTAAACTTAGAATTTGAAAGATCTGTTCTTCTTTTCTGCTTGATTCTGGCTCTTCTCAATTAATTTTTTTGGCATTTTCCCTCCGTGTTCATAGTCATGTTGGACAAGTCCTTTTCCTTTCCCATCACTGCAGATGAGCAGTGTGTGCCTGGGTTTGGGGTTTGGCTGATGGCTGAGTGTTAGCAGCCTGCAGGAGGAGCATTTGAAGGTTCTCAGGGCAGTTTCTGCAGGAAGACCATCAATTAATTAGCAGCCTCTGCAGGCAGGTACAGAAGGAAGCTGGATGTTGTCTTCTGAGGCAGGGCTGGAGAACATTACAATGACAAATTTGGGAGCCAGTGCAGCTGCTTTGCTGTGTAAGATGTTTCAGCTCCTGGGTGGTGAAAGGCTGTCCAAAACTGAACTTCACTTGAGGTCTAAACTAATTCAGGATCCTGAAGATTCTTGTTCTTACTTGACGTCAGATATCTGATTTCAAGGGAGGAGAAACAGCAATTTTCAGAAGAGGCTGAAATTCCAGCTTCTCTGCAGGACGTGCTAGTTAGCCAGGAATAGTCACAACAACTCATCCTCCTTACAGTGAGTTACACAGCCAGAAAAACCAAACCAAGTGAGAACAAGGCTAGCCTGGTCCCCTGCATTTTTCTTCCAGACTCAGGGCCTTGTCTTACTGCCTTTTAGCTACCTGGTGATGCCATACATGCGGACAGATTTACAAAAGATCATGGGACATGAATTCAGTGACGAAAAGATCCAGTACCTGGTCTACCAAATGCTGAAAGGGCTGAAGGTAGGTGGGTGTGGAGGAGTTTAGTGACTCCCTGTGTCTCCTCTGTGTGTCACCTCTGGGTTGACCCGAACTAAACTCCCCTCCAATACTGTACAGGAGGATGTGGGGAGTTTAGGCATCCCCTCAGAACAGGTATTGGCTGTTGAACCATTCCTGTTCCAGCACACATCAATAAAATGAGGGTTTGCTTACATCAGTCAGTTGGGTATCAAAGTAATCAGCAGCCACAGGCCTTGGGATAGTTCTTCCACTTGCTTCTCTCTCTGCCTTGCCCAAACCCTCAGCAAAACTCTGCACAGGGAGGGAGAGGCTGGCAGCAGCAGGAGCTTCCCTGAACCCGTCACAGAGGCTCTCAGGGGAGCACACAGAGGGAATAATTTTCTATTCAAGAGCATAATAAGGAAAGAATATGTTCCTGTGCTCTCAGGGAGCTGAAAGCAATCACTGCAAACTCTGGGATGTGGAGACAGAGCTTTCCAGCTGTCCTCTCATATCCTTCCCCTGGAGTCACAGCAGTGGCTTACAGGCATCAACAGGTTCACCTAAATCACACCTCTCCCAGGTCACTGCTACCTTGAGTTTAAATAAAGGGGGGAAGAACACACAGAAGGTTTGACTGGTGTGCTAAAACTCCTGTAGTCAGTTTTGCAATTTTTTGTTTTTGAGCTGAGATTATTTTTTGAACACCCAAAATAACCATGTTCTCATGTCATCTGCTGTAACCTTGATGACTCTGATAGTTTGAAGCTGTTGTTGTACTTGCTCTAAGGAACTATTGCTTCATCCCTTCTCTTCTGCTCTATGCATCTTATTTAGACTGGCAATGGCACTGTAAACACTGCCAGTAGTTTGGGGCAGAAATTTCTTTTCAAACTGCTGCCCTAGGGGCCAGGGACCTGTACAAGGCTGCAGAGGTTTGTTCTCAGCAAGTTCTTGTTTGTAGCTCTTGTTTCTCTGCTGGAGAACAGAAAATTTTGTCTGCTGGTGATCACATTGTGGCTCCTCTTTTTATTGCAGTATATTCATTCAGCTGGCATCGTCCACAGGGTAAGTTCATGTGTGCTCTTATTCTGATTTTTGTCTGAGAAACACAGCATAGTCATAAAGTTAATAAATTCCTAACCATCATTTCACTAATAGCATTGTCTGCTCTAATTTTCCATCCTACACCCTATATATGTTTGGATTTTCTAATTCGTGCAGTATTTTGAGAAAATGCTGTATTTTATGATGAGCTGAGAAGCATTTTATGATGCTTTCTGAATTAAAACTGTTTCAGAAAAGAATCAAATAATAATCTAAAGTACAGTATAGCAGGCATGGTGCTTATTCAGTCATTTGCTGAACTGATACTGAACCTGGGGTGTTATGGGACCACATCAAAGGCAAGCAGAGGTTCAACTGAGAGTTGTGTTAATGGATTGCAACTTGAAACATCCAATTTTTCTGCTCCTGTCTGTTGTAGGACCTGAAGCCAAGTAACCTGGCTGTGAATGAAGACTGCCAGCTGAAGGTAGGTGGCAAAGCAGCACTTTGCAGCACATCAGCTCGTGGAGGAACTGCTCTGGCAGCAGGAAATTGGCACTGTCATGTTTCCTCTTCCCTCCCGAGCCTCCATTCCAGGCCTTGTGTTCCTTGGCAGCTGCAGCAGTGGGAAATGCTCCCCTGCTGATGTCACTTGCTGAATCAGGACACAAGACCTCAAATGAGCCTTCTGTCACTGTAATCCTCGAGGATGGCAGTGTGTAATGACTTCCTAGAGGAATTCAGCACTGCTGAGCAATGCTTGCAGCAGGTGAATGATCCCTGAAGGGTAACTGCATTCAGCTGCAGTTGCCCTTTGGTTCTCATGGACATTGTGGTTGTGATTCCAGACAAACCCATTTTCAGGGTTGCTCTGAAGGGTTTGTTGCTGCTGGCTGGTGTGATGCTCTAGCATGCATTTTCTGTAATGTATATTGCAGGGAGTGGCTCTGCTGCCCGTAAAGGTTGGGTCAAGCTTGTTCAGCATTGAGGGAGAGGCCATGCTGTGTCACCTGCAAGGTGTTCTTGTAGGAAAGGGTGAGTTGTGGTGACCTGGGAGCATGCCTTCACCACCAGGTCACAGAGCAACCCCAATAAAGCACATTGACTTGAAATTTAAGCTTCAAGAAAGGAAGTGACCTTCCAAGGAGCATAAAGCACTGGTCCTTCAGCAGGGGTTTGCAGCTGGCTTGCAATTTACAGTGGAATTAATTAATTCCATATTAATTCTTTGCGGCATCCCGTGGGTGTCTGTGGTGTAGTTGAAGCTTTGTTATTATCTGATTGGAGCTACTCCATTTTCTCTTACAAGTAGAGTCTCACTTGCCCATAGGATTTCTCTTTTCTCTACTGCCCTCCCTTCTCCTTGTTCTTCCTTTGGCACTGCAGATCCTGGATTTTGGCTTGGCCAGACAGGCTGATGCTGAGATGACTGGCTACGTGGTCACACGGTGGTACAGAGCCCCAGAAGTCATCCTGAACTGGATGCATTACAACCAGACAGGTGAGCAGCCCTGCCCCAGCAGTGTGACTCCCTGGTGATGAGCTGGGGGATCCTGCTGCCTCAAATCTCACTGAATTGTCCAGCTGTTTTTCCTCTTTATCATCACTGTTCCCTGGAGTAGAGCAGGTCCCAGAGGTGTTGCACAACTCCCAGAGCTGGTGCTTGCAGGAAATGATGAAAGCAGAGGTTTTAGCAGCATAGAAAGAACAGAGGATGGTGGGAGGCAGTGAAATTTAAATCGGTGCTTGCTGCAAGCAAGCAACAGCGACAGCCCCAGCAACCACTGCTGCCTTTTTAATATTTTTTCCCTTCCTTTTCCCCCTCCCTCCTTTTTCTCTCTGAACAGTGGATATCTGGTCTATTGGCTGTATCATGGCAGAAATGCTGACTGGGAAAACACTCTTTAAAGGAAAAGACTGTATCCTTTCACGCTGAACCTTTTTCTTGAGCAGAGTAATATTCTTGGTATGTGTGGAAGGGTTTTTATGAATAAGGCCACTGAAAAAAACAGGTGTCAGTCTGATTTATCAGGAGGTAATCACAAGGGCCAGTCTTTTTGGGGAGGAAAACAGAAGAGGACCTCAGAAATAAACCTCTGTATTGGTTCTTCATCAGCTGTTCGACCTTGTGTGGTCATAGCTCCGTTCCCAAAACTTTGTATATCCTTCCAGTCCCATGGATGTGTGTCCTGGCATAGTTGTGCCAGGAAAATGATCTGTTGATGGAAATGACATGCCAGGAAGAAAAGCTTGGAGCTCTTTTTGCCAGTCTAATGAATCTCTGCTTGTGTGACTGTGGTGGGTTTGTATCATGAGCTAATTGTGCTCTCACAGGCTGAGCTGTGGTGGGGGTCTCCAGGGTTTGCCCCTCAAAGGGTGATCTTTAACACAGCTTGCCAGACCTGGATCAGCTGACCCAGATCCTGAAAGTAACAGGGCATCCAGGAGAGGACTTCTTGGAGAAGCTGGAGGACAAAGCGGTAAGGAAGCTCCCTGTGGGTTTGGGTCCTGCTGGCAGAGGTGTGAAGGGAAGGGGTTGATTTGTGTTTGGCATGGGAGAGGTGCTGCCTCTGGAACAGGGAAGTGCAGCAGCCTTTTCCCCTGGGCAGGGAAGGCATTTCTCTGTGCTGGTGGCCCATCTGATGGAGCTGGTGCTGCATTGGGAATGGCTGTGTTTGGCAGGGATCCCATGTGAGGTGCTGGATGCCCCAGCATCACCAATCTCTGTTCTCCAGCTTGGCTCTTCAAACAGAAGATTTTCCTCCGTCTTGACCAATAAAAATAGTTCCTTGTAAACTGCTTGCTGAAATGGGACATCTGGGATGCTTTGCTCCTATCTTATTTGCCTTTGCTCATCAGAGCCATGAGACTGAGAGCTGTATTTCACACCTGTCCACTGCAGTAACTGTGCTTTCCTTGCTCTTTCAGGCGAAGAGTTACATCAAGTCCCTTCCTAAAATCCCCAAGAAGGATTTGTCTGTGCTTTTCCCTAAAGCAAATCCTCAGGGTAAGTAATCTCCAGCATTTCTCATGAGTTTTCACAGCTGGAGGCGAGCTCACTGCCACAGCCCCAACTTTATTTTCTCCTTCTCATAATTTCTTGCTACATTTTTCCCTTGCAGTTTGTGCCCCTGCCCTTCCTCAGGGGAAATATGTATAAATTAAAAGCAGAATTACTTTTTATTGGCATTACAATGGCAATGTTCTGCTGTTTTTGGCCATTTACAATTTTATTTAAAAAAATATTTTTAAGTACAGTGTTGATCCTCTTTGTTGAATACCTGGATCTAGCGATACTTAACAGACAGCTGATGTGAAATTTTCAGGGTAAGAATTAATGTCTTCGAGCTCTCTTCCCAGGTAACTTAGAGGTGAGAGCAAGCAAAACTCTTCTAGAAAAAACTGAATGGGAGGAAGTCTTAAAATGTTAAAACCGAGTGGGAATGGGGCTGGCAGACTAGACAGCATCTGAGTTTCCTGCCCTCCTCTTTACCAGGGATGTAGAGGTTTCTGTACAGATTACTCATGTTAAGACTCCTTTGAGATGCAGGGCTCTGAATGAAAGCAAATGATTAAAACTGAAAAATATCTTGAGGTTACTGGCTTACTCCTCATATTTCTACAGCCCAGTCTGTGCAGCAAGGCTTATTCAAGTCTAATTTGTTATTTCTGTACAATTTAACTTCTGTTAGTAAGGGCTCTCTGAGGCTGCTGCTGGGCAGACTTTGCATCTCCACTGGTGGGAGCTCCTTGCTGCTTTGGCCAGGTTGAGGAATCTCTTCAGTGTTCAGGTCTGGAGATGAAACACTGGAAATACCAGTGCCACTCTTGCAGGGTTCATGCACAGGGTGCCTGTGCTCCCCTGCACCTTGCCTAGCCCTGTTCCCATCCTCTACAGCTGTGGACCTGCTGGACAAGATGTTGCAGCTGGATGTGGAAAAGCGCCTCACAGCAACAGAGGCCTTGGCTCACCCCTACTTCGACCAGTTCCGAGACATCGAGGAGGAGACAGAGGCACAACACTCCTATGATGATTCTCTGGAACATGAAAAGCTTTCAATAGAGGAGTGGAAAAGTAAGAAGTTTATTTTGAGGTTTCTGTCTAGCATGGGACTTTCCTGCCCCTCTTTCTTTGCTGTACAGATGCTGAGGAAGGCTGTGATTGCCTGCTGATGCCTCAGTGGTAGTGCACAGATCTCTTGCTTTTATGCATTCACCAAAGATCCCTTCAGCTCTTCAGGCTTTTTTTTGGTCTCTCTCCTTTGTCTCTTTCAGCTGCCACTGGATGCCTTTTTCTGCACATCCAACACTCCAACTTTTACTTGTGTCCTCTAAAATCACACATTCATGGTTACTTTGTTCTGTTTTTCAAGAGCACATTTACAAGGAGATCCTGACCTTCAGCCCCATTGCACGGAAGGATTCAAAGAAGAGAAGTGGGATGTCATTATAGCGACAGTGCAGCTGTGGCTGGGACTCAGTTCTCCTTGATGACATCAAATTCACTCCACACTGCACTGCTGGTGGCCAACTTTTGGCCTGTGGGACCTCTCTCCATGTGCCAACACAAGGATGACACCATGCTGTGGGCATTGGACTTTGTTCTACTAAACGGGAAGCACCCCAGACACTTTTCAACATAAAAGACAAATATATTCTTGTTGAAACTTTTAAGTGGGAAAATTTTATCTGGTGTTTCTTTTTTTTTTTATCGCTGTATTTGTCCACTTGAGAGGAGGGGTTTAATTCTTTCTCATTAGTGTTTTCAAGCACAGGGTTTAGTACATTAATTATGGATGAGGTAAAGAAAAAGGAAATGAGTCCTAAGCAAAAGGAACAGAAATACTGAATTTCAGCATAACAAGGCCTTAACCAATCTCACTCTGGCTGTCCTGCTTCCCTGAGCAGTCACAGAGCACCCAGCAGAGCAGGGCTGCTGGGATGGTGTCAGCTCCAGGGCACCAGGAGATCAGCCAGTGTTCAGAGCAGCCACAAACTCATCCTCTCATCCTATACACCCAATTCTGTTCAGATACTTCCCCTCCAGAGCCACTGCCTCTTTCTTTTTTATTTTTCCCCTGCTTATTTCATTCCCTGAGATTTGATCAGTGCTGTCTCCTCCTCACTGCTGGCAGCCAACATAGCCTGGGAATTTAAGGCCCCTTCCCACAGTGGCAGACTGGGAGTCCCAAGCAGCTGCACGAGTTAGTTTGAGTATGGAGCTGCAGGAAGATTTCCAGCCTGTGCTGAAACTGGGGTATCTGCAGATCCACGGTTATCAACAGAGTCACCTGATAGTGCAGGCACAGCTGCTGGTTGTGATAACACCTTTGGACTGCAGCACCTTCTTCCCTATGGTGATCAGGCACATTCAGCCACTCATTCCAAAATCCATCCCAACGGATCTGTGCCCAGAGCCAAGTGCCTTCTCTGTATCAGAGCTCTGAGTTTCCAGGACTAGAAAAAAGTATTGAGAAGGTATTTGACTTTCTCAGTAATACATACAGTAGTTCTCAACTCCCCTCCTCTTTTGTAGCTGCTGACTTATTTTGGTTTGGTTTAGCCAGGTTGGTTGTTTTCAGTACTCTCTAATTTTTGTCTTAAGTAATGTTCAGTTTTGCTGTACAGACCACAAGGAAAATGGCAACGTTTCCAGAATTTTCTGATCTCTCTTCTCCACTGGGAACTGGACAGTGATGTCATGTTGCTTGGCTGCCTCCTTGTTGCAGCTCATGGCATGCAGCACAGGATAACCCTGCAGTGACTGCAGTTTTTGATAGGATGGTGTTGATGTTTGCCTGCTGTAGCTGCACAGACGGTCCATGATGATAAGAGGAGGTTTCTCTTGGCTCGTATCTATCTGGGTCATTTACAACTCTTTGCTTCACTCCTCTTTTAGGTAGGGACAGTGAGCACAGAACTGTTGGGATGTGGCCTCAATTCCCTGGAAATTCAATGTTTTCTTATGCAGCACTCTTTTGTAAAGAGCTAGGCTGGGGGATATACACTAATGTTCTGCTGACTGTCCTGAAAAACAGCTTGATGAGATTTAGGCTTCATCCTTTCCTCTTGCTAAGCAATAACTCCCTTTTCCTTGAATGGCAGAAGGGAGTTCTAGCTGCATCTGTCAAACTGCAGCTGGAATACTGCCCTTTTGAATCTGACCTGGCTGCCACCTGCATAATTTTGAACAGAGGTTGGAGAGAAGCTCTCTATAGCTGCCATTAACATCTCAGAGAGCTGCAGATGTTTAGAGCTGCCTGTGCCAGGGCAAAATAAGGCTTGGTGCTTTGCAGTGGAAGGTCACTGTCCAGGTGAATGTGTGAGTGCTCAGGGAGATATTTTAGGGCTGTGGGTGAAGCAGGCTGCCCTCCTGGCTACATGCAACCCTGGACATGGAGAGGCAGAGAAGTCTTAAAAGCTCAGTCTTGTAGACAAATTTGAGTACATCTATGCAGACCTTTAGAGTAGAGAGCTTTCTTTCAGAAAGTCATCTCTAAAGTCAAAAGTCATTTGTTCAGGCAAAGAACCCACTGAGACACTCATGAACCACTATGTAAATGGGAATGCAGGGTATTTCTTAATCATCTTGCCCTCCTTCAAAAGGGGACAGATAGACCTGAAGAGTTTTCTGTCTCAGTAATGATGGCTGACAGAGAAAACCTCCTCATGGTAAAGGAATGTACTGAGTAGTCTGCTGGTAGATGAAAAGGGACTTGGATAGTTTTAAGGAGTAATTTAAAATGCCCTTTGGGAATTGTCTGTCTGAGCAGAGGACAAGCATGTGGGGACATGTGATACAAATAGGTGTGAGAAAAACAATTGTAAGCATAACTGAGTAGGGTAGATAGATTTTGCAAACATCAGTCTCACTTGTTTTAGGGATAGCACATGAAGGCTCTTCAGCATCAGTCTTTCTGCTGAGTGTACATCCACTTTCAGGGACTGAGTTCTGGTTTTCTCAGTAGGTTTACACTTACCCTGAATCCTCTGAAATTGCAAGAGCAATCCCAACAGCTGCTGTGTGGGCTCCATGTTCTGGTTTCATTCATTCACCCACCAACCCCATACAGTGACAGAACACTGTGCAAAGGATTACCCACTACCCCAGCAAATGTGGGGAGCAGGTGCTCTGTAAGCCCAGGAGCCCTGGAGGTGTATGCATATTTGTTTTCTGTGGTATGTATCATCCAAGAACTCAAAACAGACAGTAGAAAACGTAGCAGGTTGGTAGTGGAGTATCTGTATAGACCAACCATCCCAGAGCTCCTGGCAGCCAAGGATGTGTTTCAATGAACAGCATTGAGCTACTAGAAGGGAGATGTGGGGGGAAATCCTATTGACATTTCCTGAAAGGAGTTTGAAAAACACTTGCTTGACAGAGCCAGTGACTCAGGCCAAGGCTGGAATCCTTCAAAATCAGCACCAGAACTAAGAGGGGGTGTGTGACCCTGACAGACACTGTGTGTCAAGGCAGGAATTACCTCATGCAGAGGTGCAGCAGTGCCTGGTGGGTGACTCACACTGACACATAATTCATGGACATTCCTTTCATTACAAGTATAGTTTACATACTTAAAAATACAAAACCAAGTGATAAAAATCCTTCAGCCATTAAGCAGTCCAAAATTCCATTAATCAGGCTAGCCAAAAATATGTTTGCTGTTAGTACTGAGTTTGTATGATAAAAATTTACATGGATATATGGATGGAATTTTTGTGCCTGTCTTAGATAACATGACATGTGTCTAACTTGGAATGCTATTTACTTGCTAGTCTTACTTTCATTTCTGACTTCCAAGCATCTTTTTTTTAATTTGGAAAATAAAGCCTTCAGAAATAATCTTTCTCTGTAAGTTTATTTTGACAGTTAATTAGGTCTGTGAAGTTGCAACTTTATGGGGCCTATTTGTTAGGTACTTGCACATGTAGGTGGGAAATAAAAAGCAGATGAAGGAATGATTATTTTATTTTCTTAAGAGATGCCACAAAAGAGGATTTTTTAAGAGCGATAATAGTAGCTGTGTTTTGGATACCACCTAGAAACCTTTCAGTGCACAATTTTGAAAATTTCCACAGCCTCTTAGAAAACTACTTATTTCATTCTGTAAGAAAAAGATACATCATCTGTTTTCATATTTAACATTTTCACATTTTAGGTAGCAGACTAAACAAATAATATTCATGTTTTAAGTATGTGATAATGGGAAAGAAGAAAAACATAGAAAATTATAAACATATCTGAGAACTCTGGTGAGATTCTGTACAAAAGATGGTAATACCTTTTCATATTCCCATGTCTTGCTGTTGCCTGAGCAACCAGGGAAAGCGTTCCTAATCCTCTGCATTTTTCCTGTATCATGGGTCAGCAGTGCTGGCTGGAAATGTGATTATGGCTGTTTTTCTTTTCACAGCTGAGAGAAACAAAACATGAAAGATTGAATGAAGACCAGAATAGCCAGTACTAATTTGCTTTCCCCCCAAAAGGATGGACACTCGCTGCACTAATTGTACTTACCATGGAATCATTCAGGTTGGAAAAGGCCATTAAGATCATTGAGCCCAAATCTACACTGAAAATGTCAGAGTTTCCAGGTGAATGTGGTTTAGGATGTTTTGGCTGATTTCTCTCTACAAGGCCATTTTCTGAGCACATGAGCTTACACAGCTTTTAATGTGATGTTCAGCTGGTGCTGGCTCACAGCTGATTCAGTCAGCTCTCCTTTTTTGTTGGAATGCACCCCACTAAATAACACTGAAGGGTTAGTACATTATATCTGTAACCCTCATTGATTTGCTGTTACATGAAAGTGAGTTAACTTATTTTAGCCAAGTTTGGATGGAAAAATAAAAATTCTCCTGCCATAAACCATCATTTCAGATCTGTCTTCAGAACGCTTCAAGTGAAAAAAATGTTTTAAAATTAGAGGACATTAAGATTTAAAAAATAAGAACCACTGAGGATGTAGTAAGCTCCACAAGCTGGGTGCTTGTGTAACCTCTTTGATGTTAGTGAGGGTAAAGAGGGTTATAAATATATACATAAAATTCCAGTGAAAATACATGGCAACTCAGGCTTATCAATTTTGAGGTATCAGGTTTTAACCTTTAATGCATAAGGGACCTGTTTAGCAATTGCTCTAATTTCAGCAATTCTGAAGAAAGCAGCAGCAGAACCAACAGCCAAAGAGAGATACAAACATAACTCAGTTTTGAGGCTTAATAAATCAACAAAGAAAAAGGTCAGCTCTCAATTCTAAATTATAATTCTCTTCCCTTTTTAAGTACGTCTTATATGCTTGAACAAACATGGAGAAAATTGTAATATGAGTGAAGGTGCCTGACTCTGTCTTGGCTGCTGCTTTCATTTGAAACAACATCACTAATTTTGCACTTGCACCCTTTAAAAACTGGGACTGCAAAGGAATTGAATTAAGCTGTGCCTCTGGGATTTGAGAGAAGTTCAAGATGTTTTTCAAATAATGCATTAGTTCCACAGCTTTGATATAAAACTAAATGACGAATAAGTTGTTTTGATGTTGTAACACATGGCCCTCAGTCATCAGAGATGTCTGGACATCTCTGTGCACACTTCATCCCACTGTTCTTAACAGGGAGCCTAATATGATTGTAATAAGCTAATTCCAGTGCACATTTATGAGTATAAAGTTTCA